AAAGACATCCTTTTCTTCAACACCTTTCATCTTGATCAACTTATGTCGTAGTCTTGAAAAAATAAATCTTTCTACGGCAAGAGTTTATTGCGTTTTATATAATATACATTTCATTACAATTTTTTTTTATTTTATTTTTTTTTTTTTAATCTATTGTTTACATTACTTTGATCAGATTTATTGAAACATAATGTATTCTGAAACAATGATATAATCAATGATCTATAACGGTAGGTGAATAGAAAAAAAGAAAAAAAGATATCCAAGAGACGTTCATTGAAAGAACATTCGCATAAATTATGAATTATTATTGTTATTAAAAGTTTCGAACACGATTGAAGGAATCGAATTGTCGAGATAAGTGATACGATTGATTTATACATAATCAGTTTCGACCAATACATACTACGATCGATTATGGTAAACAATATTAGACCCCAATACATATATAATTGACTTTAATAAGTTCACGCGTCAATCAACACATTTGGTTATTAATAGGGATATTTTGACGTAATTCTTGATTCGAACGTAATTTTATTTATTGTTTAATTAATAACTACAAATCAAAAATATTCAATTATATCAAAACAATAATTTTATTTTGTCAATTTTATAATTAATTAATTAATAACTTATTATAATAATTGAATACACATTTTGTATTTAGATAATTTTCAATTCAAAAATAATCGAAATAAATTGGAAATAATTTTTTATTTATTGTTTAATTAATAACTACAAAATCAAAAATATTCAATTATATCAAAACAAAAATTTTATTTTTTGTCAATTTTATAATTAATTAATTAATAACATATTATAATTATTGAATACACATTTTGTATTTAGATAATTTTCAATTCAAAAAATAATCTAAACAAATTCGAAATAATTTTTTATTTATTGTTTAATTAATAACTACAAAATCAAAAATATTAAATTATATCAAAACAATAATTTTATTTTGTCAATTTTATAATTAATTAATTAATAACTTATTATAATAATTAAATACACATTTTGAATTTAGATAATTTTAATTAAAAAAAAAAATAATAATAATCTAAATAATTCGTTTAAATAAATTTCGAAATAATTTTGTTATATTTTATTTTTAAGTATTTTAAAAATTTATTATTGATTAGTAGATTTGTCATATGTGTTCCTATTTTTTTTTTTTGTTGATCTATAAATTTAATTCGATATATTATTGATTATGTATGAAAAAAAAAAAAAAAAGGAATTAACATATAATAAATATTTCAAATTAAAAACTGAAAAAAATGTCAAACGTGTAAATTGTTTCATTAATTACCTTTGTATAAGTATATCACGTTTTCTAAGAAGAGTTATTCTCTTTATCATTTCCTTTTACAACTTCGTGACATCGTTATAAAATCTGAGGAAAAAAAAAAAAAAAATCAGAAAAAAAAAAACAACATTTTACTCCAAGTTTCCTTTATCGTCAGTTCTACTTGGATTTTTAGTTAAAAGGAGGTGGGGAGGGGGGAAATAATCAGAAAACACGTCATTGAGTTTACGCACGGTACTTTCTGACAATCATAATCAATGAAATACATTAAATGTGTATCCACACACACACACACACACACATATGTAACATATATATGCATATAATATTATTTAATCATTAATGAATATTCTTCTTAAAATTTAAAACAATAAAATAACAGATAAGTAATTTTTTTTTAAACAAAATGTATAATTGTATAATTCCCTTTGTTCTATTTGTCATATTAAAAAAAAAAAAAAAAAATATTTAAATAATTTTAAAAATATATCTAACAATTTCATAATTTATTTATTTATTTATGTATATATATATATATATATATATATAAATAAATTATTATAATATTATAATAATTTATAATATTTATTTTAAATATTATAACATTTGTTCTATAGTTTTTTATATTTTATATTAATTTTTATATTAATTTTTATATTAATTTTTATATTTAATATTTTACATTTTACATTATAAAAATAATTAATTATAAATAAAATAATGTTACCTTATCTTACGTTATTAAAATTGTTAATTGCAATAAAATTTGTATATTTTTGAAAAAAATAAAATAAATAATAAAAAAAAAAATACATTTTATTTGCAATAATTGTTAAAAGAAATAATGTTTAGAAGATCGTCGAATAATAAAAGATGCAAAAACGTACACACCTGGAAACAGGGTCCCTTTTGAGTAGTTCTATTGGTTAAAAGTGAAAAGAGGGTCATGATATAAAAGAGCATGTAATAATACACACACACACACACACATACACATGAAAAAGAAACAAATAAAAAAAGAGAGAGAGAGAGAGGGAGAGGGAGAGGGAGAGAGGAACGTAGACATCGGTTTTCTTCCCTTCTCAAAATCTTTCTCTACAACCTGGCCAGGTGTACGGTTTCTTCTATACAAATCTAACAGAAAGGACTGATGAAATAATCCTGACAAGTTTTACAAACGAGTCCTTCGAAACTTCGTCCTTCGTACTATAAAAATACGTATATACAAATTTGGTTATTGCAAGAAAAAAAAAAAAAAACAA